GGGAATTGAATTACCTTGTAGCTCTTTGAAGAATCAAATGACCTTAAGATTGAAAGCATTTATCTATCTGTTGGTCGATTGATCTATTGATCTATCTATCGGTCTATCTATTGTATCCACCTATTTATTTATCTATTTATTTTCTTATTTAAAGATAGGGTGTCATGTAGCCACCATGCCTGCAGAACACTGAATTGCAGTCTGAATCTGCTGGCTGATGTCTGTTGATGCCCACTATCACACTCCTGAGTTTCTGTGACTTCGTTAACAGCTTTGGAAATTGAGAACTAGGAATCCTTACATTCTTTTCTGTCTCTCCCTTGTTTTCAATATTCTTTTTTGTTTTCTGGAAGTCTTGCATCTCTATACGAATTTTAGAATTGGCCTTTCAGTTTCTGCAGAGACTGTTGAGGATTTTATCAAATCTGTAGATCAGCTTGCTTAGTGTTGCCCTTAGCAACATTAAGTATTCTGATACACAAAGACATCTTTCCATTTACTTAGATCTTTTATAATTTCCTTTAACATTCTTTTATGGTTTCCAGGGTATAAAGTTCATCCATAGATTTATTCTTAAGCAGATTTTTTGATGCTATTGTAAATGGATTTGTTTTCTTAAATTTGGGTTGTTCCTTGCTTGCTAGTGTACAGAAGTGGAGTTGTTTCTTTTTCCATTTATCTTGTGTTTGGAAACCTCTGAGAATGCGTTTTAGTTCATATAGTATTTTCATGGATTTGCTAAGATTTATCGTTTGCTGGACTATATCACCTATGGCAAGATGTCTTTTGGATCCTTTTGTTTCCCAATGTAGATCCATTTTAGCCCCCCTTTCTGCCCTGGCTAAAGCCTCCAGTCCAACACTGAAATAGAATCAATTCTGGGCAAGTGGTTTTCCACTGAGCCCTGCTGCTCCAAGCGTTGGAATTTGGCATGTTAGTTTCTTTTTTATTAAGAATTTTTAAAATACAATCTTTCTTCATTTTATATAGTTATCTCTGTTCCCACTCCCTCCTCTCCTCCCACTCTACCTTCTCCTCCACCCCACCACTCATCCACTCCTCTGAAAGAATAAGGCTTCCCAGGGGAAGTCAACAAAGTCTGACACTTACAGGCAAGACCAAGGTCCTCCCGCCCATATCTAGGCTGAGCAATGTATCCCTTCAAAAAGAATTCCCTCCTAGACGCTAGTTCAAGCACTAGGGATAAATCCTGGTTCCACTGCCAGTGGTCCCACAGACTGCCCAAGCCTAACAACTGTACCCCACATTCAGTGAGCCTAGTTTGGTGCTATGCAGGTTCCCCCGCTATCAGTCCAGAGTCAGTGAGCTCTCACTAGCTCAGGTCAGCTGTTTCTGTGAGTATCACCATCATGGTCTTGACTCCTTTGCTTATATTATCACTCCTCCCTCTCTCAGACTGGTCTCCAGGAGCTCTGCCTAGTGCTTCACTGTAGCTCTCTGTATCTGCTTCCTTCAGTTGCTGGTTGAAGGTTCTGTGATGACAATTAAGGTAGCCATCTCTCTGATTACAGGGGAAGGCCAGTTTAGTCATCCTCTCTGCTGTTCCTTAGAGTCTTTGCTGGGGTCATCCTTGTAGATTCCTGGGAATTTCCCTAGTGCTGTGTTTCCCGATAGCTCTTTAATGCTCCCTCAATCAAGATATCTTCTTCCTTTCTTCCCTTCACTGTCCTTCCCATTTCTTGAGCATCCTATTCCCTCATGTTCTTCTCCTCCCTCCACTTCTCTCCTCTCCCTCCCCTTCTCCCTTCCCTTCTAATTCTAATTCTTCCCCAACTCCAATTTTCTCAGGAGGTCTAGTCTGTTTCCTCTTCCGGGGGGAGGGTGGTGTCCATGTATGTCTCTCAGCGTTCTCCTTGTTACCTAGCTTCTCTGGGATCATTAGTTTCTGAGCATCAATTCCCAATAAATTCTAGCTTGGCTTCCCCTAAAACATCTGATGCCTGTGTTCTATTACCTTAATGAAAAACATTCGAAAAATAATTAAGTAAGCAGCCTGAAAGACACATTCCTAATGAATTGTGTGCTTTTCCTAAGGATTCATGCTTGCTGATATATGTGGATAGAATAAGTAATGCAGACATTCATACTGCCTCTTCTAGTGGTACTTGTCCATGGCTTGGACTTAGCACTTTTGGTGTTTATGATTTGTAGGGTGTTGTTGGCAGATAGTGATAGTGAAGATTTGTAAAGGAGGTGGTAGTTGTATTACTTTGAATAGTTTGATCTGTACCCACTTCCCGTACGTTTCCTTGCTTAAGCTTAGTCCTCCTGGAAGCTCTGGCTGAAACTCTGCTGTGCTTGTTAGTCACTGTAGACTCCCTCAGCACTTAGATACCATTGTCTTCATATTCTGAGCCTTTCTAAAATGGATTCTCTGGGAGCCGCACTTTGCCTTGTAAGAGACGTGAAATGAGCACAAGAACTCATTCATTCTCTGGATGCTTACAATATATGTAGAAAGATCTAGTATGTGTACTTACCATATACTGTTTAGAGGTGATTCTCTGCCTGCCTACTTCCCTCCCTCCCTCCCTTCCTCCCTCCCTCTTTCTTTCTTTCTTTCTTTCTTTCTTTCTTTCTTTCTTTCTTTCTTTCTTTCTTTTTTTCTTTCTTTCTTTCTTCCTTTTGTGAGTGGTGATCAGTTGGAAAGACAGCTTTTAGGCTAGGGTGGGAGGTGTGTCCACTTGTCTTTCAGCACTAAGACTTTGTCTGGCTTAGACCTGTACAGGCCCTGTGTGTGCTGCTACAGTCTGTGAGTGCACATGGACGTCAGTCCTGTTGTGTCTAGAAGGTTCTGTGTTGTTCTTGTCTCCTGCACGAAATGCGAGCCCCCTTCAGGATGGGTCTTTTTGAATGAACAGTATATCACAGTGCCTCATATGTAGCTCCTGCTTGTAATTTTTAAAATTAATAGAGCCATAAACAGTATAAGACTGTAATCAATTACTCAAGCAGTGTTATAACCAAGCAGTACTGATGAAATTCATAAGTAACAGTAATCAATATCTTGTAGATTATGAGGAAGGGCACTATGAAGGAGAAGGCAATTCGAGTGGGTTTGTGAGCGATGTAAACTGAGCAAGAGGAGAGCTGTTTGACCTGGGTGCCACAGTGTTTGGAAGGCATTGAGTTGATTATAATGGCCAGAATAGATGGCTTGTCGATGAACAGAAGAGTAGATAAATAGGGAAGAACATCATATTTTGGAGGTCTTAAGAACCATTTTGTAAGGTTTGCCATTATAATATTGAACATGAGAGAATTAATGAAATTTTCTGAGTTGCAAGTTTTCAGGTAATGCAGTACTTCAGTAAGATTTACTTGTGGGTTAGTGTATACTGTGGGGTGGAGGGCAGCTGGTACTATAAGAGGGTATGATTGAGTTCTTTTGGTGTTTCAGTTTTTATTAGCAGAATTCTTGGGTGTTAGTGCCTAGTGTAGTCTCTAGAGCAAAGTTCAGTTCATTATTCACTGAAAGTATGAATGGTGGATGGGCTGAACTGGACTTGGATGGAGCTGGGAGCAGCAGGGGCAGTCCGTGCTAGGATATTTGTAGGAACTATTGAGACAGTGTATGCACTAGCGTATGAGAGCATGGGCTGTCACAATCACATCTTTATGCTTGCTGAGCCTGATGTGAAATGCCTAGTGCATACAGATGTATGGGCTCAATATAAAAGTGAAGCTGGATGTTTCATTTTGGGTAGCGTTATGCAAATCTTGTGCTTTGAACAGTGAAAGTGAATGGACTGACAGCCGTGTTGTGTGTGTGTCCAGAAATGCACACACTATGAAATGTGTATGGCCCAGTGTGTGCTGGACCATCTGCAAACCAGTCTGCTGATTAACATTAGCAGAAAGATAGAACTGAAGCTGTGGGTGAGTAGAGAGAACACAGGGGCTGAATAAGGAGACAGAAAGAAACAGACAAGGAGACCTTTCAACTTGACTGTGCTCCTGAGGCTCCGAATCCTGTTTTACCTTTAAGAACATCCCCACTATCAGCATGGCGCATGTCACTATGACTTGTTGAGACCTTACTGAATGACAGACATGGTGCTGAGCACACTGCCTCCTTCGCTTCACACAGTAGGTCTGTTATGTTCGCACCACTGTGCAACTGTACTACTGTACCACGGTACCACTGTGGCACTGCGCCACTGAGCCACTGTGCCACCATACCATTGCACCACTGTACCACTGCACCACAGTACCACCACAACACTGCACCTCTACACCACTGCACCCGTGTACACACTGCGCCACTGCACCACTGCACCACTGCACTGGTGTACCACTATGCCACTGCAACACTGCACCACTGCACTGGTGTACCACTGCACCACTGCACCACTGCACCACTGCACTGGTATACCACTGTACCACTGCACCACTGCACTGGTGTACCACTGCACCACTGCACTGGTATACCACTGTACCACTGCACCACTGTATCATTCGTTTACTGGTAAACAGAAGGGTAAGTGGTCAAAGCCTTCCAAAGGTCTCTGAGTTGATAGTGATTAGGGAACCCTGAAAATATAACTGGACCTATTTGACTTCAAGCCAGATAGATGCTCTTTCCATTACTTCAAAGGTATGTGCATTTAATTTCTACAAGGCAAGGACTGTGTTTATACAGAATCAGTTTCCACTAAAGGCTTCTTCATTAGCAGGCAGTGATTGGACAGTTGTGTTTCCTGTAAAAATAATCAGCGTGTGTGCTGCATGGGGCTGCTTCTGCTTTCCTACCAGGGTATTTATATTCATAGGGTATTGCACTTTTTTGATTGCTTATTGTGGATGGTAATTTCAAAGAGGATATCAGTTCCTTTATCTGAAGAATTAATCATTCAGAAAGTACTTTTCAAATTTGTTTTTTAAACTAAATATAAGTTTCTTCAAGTTTTTCTGATGCATTCTTCAGACTGTCCATTTGCAAGGGAATAAGAAGATCTTGTTATTTTTCTATATTTCAGGGGACATAATTTTCAATGCTCAGTACCCAGAGCTGCCCCCCGATTTCATCTTTGGAGAGGATGCTGAATTCCTGCCAGACCCCTCTGCTCTACATGTGAGTACCATAGTCTCACTCTCATAACCTTTGTTGAAAAGAAAACAAAATTGGCATTGATAATCACTTAGTCACATGTAGTTTCCCCATCTGTGAAATAGTGCAGTTCTTCATGTGCCAAAATAGTTAAGGAAGAGAGATTTTCATCATAGTTTTACTTTGGGACCATTTCATATTAACTCTACAGATTGGTTGACATAATTTTTCTTCAACTTAAGGACACATTGAAGACATTTCCTTGGTTCTGACCTGATGGTTCATGCCTGCAGTCAGTTTTCCAGTGTTTACTAACATTTCAACAAAATACTGGTTGGAAGAGTGTTTCTTGGCTTTTTAAGAGGAAATTAAAAGTGGCAGATTTGGACTGCACATCTGTTGTCTTAGTGTCACCTCAAGGGAAGACTAGACTGAATGTTTTGTAGTAAGCCAAACCCAAACCTTGTAATAAAAAATCCGGCATTTCTGGAATTAAAGCAAGAAGACTTACCATTAGGGGAAAAGGGTCATGGTACCTGTCAGAGCATATACAGTCTGTTTAACAGTTGGGTTTTATTCATGACTAATAAAGAACTGGTGCCATTTTGTCTAATGTTTCTTTCTTTCACTTTCAAATTCCCTCATGCTGTAATAGCTGCATTAATCAAAGAGGTTTCATTGTTGATTAAAACTGTGTTCTCAGTTTGACTTCTGGATTTTAGTTTTTGGTTCATTCAAACTCTATTGATAGTTTAATGACCTACTTTGGAAGCCCCCCACTCCTCTTTCTTCCATTTAAAGGTGAGTGTTGTAGTGTGAAAAAAATGGCCTCCAAAGGTCGTGGCACTATTAGGAGGTGTGTCATTGTTGGAGTAGGTGTGGAGGAAGTGTGTCACTGTGGAGGCAGACTTTGAGGTCTCATATATGTTCAAGTCACGTTCAGTGAGACAGTCTACTTCCTGCTGCCTGCATATCAACATGTAGCAGCTACCTTTCCAGTACCATGTCTGCCTGCACACTACCATGTTGTGCCATGATGCTAATGGGCGTTCCTCTGAACTGTAAGTGAGCTACCACAATTAAATGTTTCCTTCAGGAGCTGCCATGATCACGGTGTCTCTTCTCTGTAATAGAAACCCTGACTAAGACAGCAAGGTACTAGCTAAACCTAAAGAATTACATAAAGTTTCATACAGCTGTGAGAATACTGTTGATAGGGGTGGGATGAGTTTGTTGAATGGTTTTTAATAATTGTACATAAATTTCTGTTTGATTAAAAAAACTTTTCTAGTTAAATTGCCTCTTTAGAAACCTGTTGAAATAAGAAGCGGCGGCGGGGCTGCGTCTCCAACACCCCGGCCGCTTGGCTAGCTTATGCCCGAAATAACAACACACAAACTGTATTCATTTAAACACCACTTGGCCCGGCTAGTTCCACCTTCTAGGCTAATACTCGCACCTGGACTAGCCCATTTCTAATAATGTGTGTAAGCACCCCAAGGTGCGCTTACCGGGAAGATTCTAACCTATGTCCATCCTGGGTTGGAGGAGCTTCATTGCGTGTGCCTCAGAGCACAGAGCTATCACGTCTAATCGGGAGAGCGGAGCATGGCGTCTCTGCTCCAGAGAGCAGAGCTGTCGGGTCTCCCTGGGATCAGAGCAGAGTCTTACCTCACTTCCTCTTCCTCCTGTTTCCTATTCTGTTTACTCCTCCCACCTATGCTTTAACCTATCAGGGCCAGCCAAGCAGTTTCTTTATTGCTCAATGACCTTCCTCCATCAGAAACCATGGGGTTGGTGTTGCCCACATTTAAAATCGAGAGGCCCAGCTGCAGTAGATGTGACCTGAGCATTACTGCGTAGTCTCTCCTGCCTGAAATCTGCCCCGTGGAGGGAGGCGTATACCAGAAACCAAAGAAGTGTTACATCGAAGTATCCCTGGAATTTGAAAACTGTGTGTAGGAGGTGGTGTTTGTCTTCCTCCTTCAGAAGTGAAGGAAAGGTGGGATTATGAGGGAGAATTCCAGTAGGTGCACGGCTGAAGCACGTGTGAGGCCGTGTTCATGTGATGTGTTGTAGAAAAGGGCACTGAGATTTGCTGAGGTTTGCATGCACATAAAACAGATCTACAAAGTGTAGGTGCATTTGGTGGAGTCTAGGGTTTCTATTCCTTTGAATAAACAGCATTGCTAAAGGGTTTGTTTTATGTTATAAGCTTATAACCATTATTCAGGGAAGTTGGGGTGAGAACCCAAGGCAGGAACTTGGAGGCAGGAACTCATGTAGAGGCCATAGAGGTAGACTGCTTTTTGGACTTGCTCAGCCTGCTCTTTAACCTACCTACTCAAGGATGGATGGCATCACCCATAGTGGTGTGTGCTTTCCTACATCAGTCACTAAGCAGGAAATGCTCCACAGGCTTGCCTACAGGCCAGTCTCCTGGAGACATTCTTTCAGGAGCGTCCTTCCACCCAGACGACTCCAGCTTGTGTCCAGTGGACATAAAAGTAGCCAGCACAGGGACATTGGTGGAGTACATCGCTGAAAGAAGAAGAGAATAGACCTTCCTGATGGAAACTTGTTTCGTGGGATCGATGATCTAAGACCAGAATGAGCATTGTTGAAATAAACCTATGGCAGAGAGAAAGCATTAGATAATACAAGGAAGATCACTGAGATGGAAAGGGTAAGAAGGAGCGTTCCCGCCTGTTTTTGGAATTGACTTTACAATTTGCAGTGTTTGTCTTCAGTATTGGCAAGCATGGTAAATGGAGAATTTAAGAGCTAGAAAGGGCCCTAAGATTCATCGTATTCCACTCTTCTATTTTAGTACTGAAGGAACTCTAGTAGATTTAGGGAATTCTGTAGCAGAGCTGATATGGTAATTCCACTCTTCTGGTGATGTTTCATCCCTGGGTGAAGTTCTCAGAAATGCTTTTGAGAAATAAGCTGATTAAGAACTGTGTGAGGGTGGGGGAGTGAGGAAGGGGCAATAACAGTGCACTGCATCCAAGAGGAAGAATGCAAAGCCAGGGGGGCACTTTGTTCCTAGTGATGATGGATTGAGAGCCCCAGCAGTGGGTCAGAAAAGCCCAGCGAGGCAATCAGAGCACACTTGTAAAGGTGCACACTTGATACCTGTCTTATTGAAACACCAGGGCAGGATAAAATATACCCCCAATCTCCAGCAGCCATTTCTCTAGACACAGTCTAGAGACTATATTAAATTATAATCATTAGTAAAAAATGAACTCTTCAGTATGGTCCAGCTTGAGAAACAAAGTTTTAGAGAAATTTATTCTATTTATTTAAATTGGCTCTTCTCCAAAAAGTGAGGTGGCTTAAATAAGGAGCATGGGTACAGGAAAGAGAAGTAAATGAGGGCTTCCAAGATCAGCTGAAGCCTCTGCTTCCTAAGCTCAGACTCTTCATTGAAGGAGGTGAGTTCTGTGAAGGAATCAGTGTGTATAAAATACTAGGATCTATACTAGGGACAAAGCATCTCAGATACCACAGACTCATGAAGATATTGGACAAAGGCCTTAGTGGCCCCATGGTTCTCAAGCATATTGGACTGATTTGGAAATACGGTACGACTCTAGCTTCCCCAGTAGACCCAGAATTAGGTATTCGGGAGAACCCAAGGACTGCCAATCTTTGGAGATATTTATATGCAGCAGTCTGAACTGTGCTGGGAACCACTGGCTGAATCATCTAGTAACATCTATAACATAGCATCCTTTGCCTTTACTTGACATTGCTCTTCTGAGGTACTGTTTTCTATTTAGGGGGTAGCATACGTACATACATATGTATATATTTTTTTAAAAACAATTTTATGACACATAATTTGTATGCCATACGGCTCACCTATTTAAAGTACTAATTTGGTGGTTTTTAGTATTTTTGTTGGGCTGTGCAACTGTCACCACAAATTAAGGCATCTTGTCATCATACTGAAAAGAAACGCCAAACCTATCAGCAGTTACTTTCCTATCCTTCGCACCCCAGGAAAACACTAATTTGTATTCTGTTTTTTATGGATTTGCTTATTTTGAACATTTCATGTAAATAGAAATAATTTTAGCCAGGCAGTAGTGGCACACACCTTTAATCCCAGCACTTCGGGACAGAGTTAGGTGGATCTCTGCATTAAAGGCCAGCCTGATCTACAGAGTGAGTTCTAGGACAGCCAGGGCTACACAGAGAAACCCTGTCTTGAAAAAGAAAAAAAATCTTTCATATATATGTGCATATATATAGTCCTTTTGGACTGTTTTATTTTTTTATTGTCAAATAATACTCTCTTATATGTATACACCACATTTTATTTCTTCATTTGTCAGTTGATGGCCACTAGGGTTGTTTCTTTTGGTTGTTGATGCTTCTGATATTGTAAAGACATCCTTTTGTTTTTCTTGGCTATATCCCTAGGAGTAGAATTATAGGACCAAGCAGTAACTCTGTTTTTAACTTTTTGAATGCACGGACTGTCTTCAGAATGGCTTGTACTATTTTGTATTCCTAGCTAGAGTAGTAGATAAGTGTCTGCTTTCTCTGGCTCCTCACTAATACTTACTATTGTGTGTCTTTTTAGCTAGTCATCACTGGGAGTGCTGAGTAAATAGTCTTTCCTTGGAGTTTGGGTTTGTGCTGCTTTGATGAAAAATGATTTGAGCATTCATGTTTTTCTTGGCGTATCTTCTTTGGAGAATGTCTGTTAAGATCCTTTGCCTATTTTAACATTTTTTTTCTTTTTCGCAATATATTTTTGGCACAAGTTCTTCATCATATACATGGTTGGCCAGAGCCCCCCCCCCCCAATTCCATGGATTTTCTTTTTGCTCTGGAGGTATGTTCTTGTGTGCCTGTGTATGTGTGTATTTGCCCATGTGACATTTGTAGAGGCCAGCTGTCGACTTAGGTATCTTATGTCTCTATCTTGCTTTTTGAGACAGGGTCTCTCAGAGAATCCAGAGCTCATCATCTTTGCTGTATTCACTGTCTCCGTCCATTCTGCCTGT